CTGCCTTTAACTCCATGAACCAGCTTTAAATTAGCGTCCCAGCATGGATTGCTACCCTTGATTCTGTCAAGTGCGAGTTAGCTTTGTATTAGCCTAATACCATGGAATCACAGAGTACTCAAAGTTGGAAGGGACCCACAGGGATCATTGAGTCCAGCTCCTGGCTCCACAAAGGGCCTCCCAAAATTCAAACCCTGTGTCTGAGAGCAGTGTCCAAACGCTCCTTGAACTCCAGCAGCTCCGCGCCGTGCCCACAGCCCTGGGCAGCCCGTTCCGCGCCCACCGCCCCCTGGTGCAGAGCCTTTCCCGAGCCCCTTTTCCCGCCCCTCCCCTGACGCAGCTCCATGCCGTTCCCTCGGGCCCTGTCGCTGTCACACAGAGCAGAGCTCAGCGCTGCCCCTCCGCTCCCTGTGAGGAGCTGCAGCCGCCATCAGGCCTCCCCTCGGCTCCTCTGCTCTGGGCTGAGCAAACATAGGGCGCTCAGTCGCTCCTTATACGTCTTCTCATACAGCTGTGAGAATTACTTACAGTGAATATGGTTTATGTATTAATAATTAACTTCTAATTGGTCTGTTGTCTTGGTATTTATTAAGGAGAAAACTGAAATAAACTGAAATAAATCCTAAATGCTAAATGGAAGACTCTTTACCCTTTAATCATCTACAGATGTTTAAAAATATTTCCACTTTTGTACAGCAGACAACAATCTAGAATAATGGTGACACTGCCCACTGGGACTCTTCCACAGGCTCTTAGCACCAAGCTGTGCTCTGGCTTCAGGGTGTCACAAACAGGACTGAGCCCCTCGTTACGCTGACAGCACCCAAGCACAGCCTTCTCACAGGCACCAGGTGAAGCCCAGAACTAATGTCAGCCTTTGGGTACATGATTAGTACTTCGGTTCTCTTTTACCTGATATTATGCTCCATTAAGTGCCTACTGACTTGCTAGAGGGAAGGGACGCCATCCACAGGGACCTGGACAGGCTTAGGAGGTGAGTCCATGCCAACCTCATGAAGTTCAGCAATACCAAGTGCAAGCTCCTGCACCTGGGTCAGGGCAATCCCAAGCACAGATACAGGTTGGGTGGAGAATGGCTTGAAAGCAGCCTTGAGGAGAAGGATTTGGGAGTGTCGGTTGATGAAAAACTCAACAATGCACACTTGCAGCCCAGAAGGCCAACCATATCCTGGGTTACATCAAGAGAAGGGTGACCAGCAGGTCAAGGGAGGTGATTCGGCCCCTCTGCTCTTCTGCTCTGCTCTTGTGAGACCCCATCTGGAGTACTGTGTCCAGTTCTGCAGCCCCTAACATGAGAAGGATGTGGAGCTGTTAAAGCAGGTCCAGAGGAGGGCCACAAAGATGATCAGAGGGCTGGAGCACCTCCCCTGCAAGGACAGGCTGAGAGAAGGCTCTGGGGGAAGCGGCCTTCCAGTACCTCAAGGGGCCTACAGGAAAGCTGGAAAGGGACTTTTTTTTATCAGGGCAGGTAGTGACAGGACAAAGGGAAATGGCTTTAAACTGGAAGAGTACAAATTTAGACTAGATATTAGGAGCAAATTATTCACTGTGAGGGTGGTGAAACACTGGAACAGGTTGCCCAGTGAAGCTGTGTCTGCCTCCTCCCTGAAAGCACTGAAGGCCAGGCTGGATGGGGCTGTGAGCAACCTGGTCTAGAGGGAGGTGTCCCTGCCTACAGCAAGGGGTTGGAGCTGCAGGATCATAAAGGTCCCTTCCAACGCAAACCAGTCTGTGATTCTACTGCATATGTTGTGATTCTCAACCGGCAGAAGAATGTGAAGTACTCTGCCTCTCAGGCACGGAGCTGAGGTGGGTGGCGGCTCCTCGCTGGGAGTTTTTGGGCGAGCTGCCTTCCGCCCGCCGCCGGGAAAGGAGCTGTTCCGTTCCGTACTGCGGAACTCGCCCGAACCAGAAGCATACGGAACAAAACCAGTCCGGAATTCTGAGACATTCCAGGTTAATATGTGCCACCACAGATTTTATTTCATTTCATTTGCTGTAATACAAGATAAGATCCCTCGTTTACATTTTTTAATTAATTTTGCGTTAAGTAATTACTAATTCTTCAGCAAGCTCGAAGGTCCCGGAGGCGCAGAGAGCGGCGGCCGGGCACGTTGAGCGGAGCCGTGCTGCCCCCTAGCGGCAGCCGGGGGGGACGCGGGAGGCGCTGCCAGAGCGGGGAGGGTTTGCGTTTGCAGAGGTCGAGGAGAAGAAAAACAGTGCGCACGTAAGCGGCTGTGTCTCTCTACGAAGCTGGAGGAAAATCTGCGTATTAACTTACACGGGGGAGCCATCACGTGTGAGAACTTCTACACTTCAATAAAGTTGAATGTACAAAGACATCTGGGTAGATATGGACCAGAACTTCACCTAACGTTTGAAAGGCATTTCCCAGGGCTGTGCAGCCCAGCACTCCCGAGGCCAGGTTCCTGCACTCCCCGGGGGCACAGACACTAACTCCCTATTTATCTTCTCAGGGAACAAGTGGTCAATGATGACATTTTTTTCTCTCTTGGCACATGGCAGGCTTTGCAGTGTACTCGGGGGCTCTCTCTCAGTTTACTGTAGAATAAAATAATAGAATCATAGGATAGAATAGCTTGGATTGGAAGGGACCTCAATGATCATCAAGCTCCAACACCCCTTCTACATGCAGGGCCACCATTACATGTGGAGATATGGAGATACCTAACACTAGACCAGGCCCCATCCAACCTGGCCTTGAACACCTCCAGGGACGGGGCATCCACGACCTCTCTGGGCAGCCTGTTCCAGCACCTCACCACTCTCTTAGTAAAGAACTTCTCCCTGATATCCAACCTAAATTTTCCCTCCCTTAACTTAAAACCATTTCCCCTTGTCCTGCCATGATCTACCCTGTAATTTCATCAATGAATTTTTAAAAGCTTTCTATTTTTTCCACATTCCTGATCCCTAAATTTTTTACAGATCTTTTAAAATTCAATATAAACATGACCTTGTAGAATATATCTTTTGTGGATTTCCTCATAGTAATCCATATATCAGACTGAATACCATTGTTCTAGAACTATGTTCTAGAACTATGCTTTTTGGGTTCATTCTTATATCCTTTTCCAATGGTTGATATTTTTCACCATTTTCTTTCCCATCTCTCATCTTCTCTCAGTCTTTCCATGCTTGTGTTTTGTTCAGTCCATTAAATCCTGCACCAAGAAAATACAGCACTTCAAGCTTGGTCAGTGGACAGAGTTGGTCTGCACTAATCGTACAGCTCAACATGAAGAAACTGGCAGGAGGCCTCTCTATCACCTGAAACACCAGGGGATGCCTTTCATGACAGCTAGCTAAGAAGCATCTGTCAATCAGTCACACCTTAAGATTTATATTCTATGCAGCAGAATAATTTGGCTGGTAGATCCCTGCTCAAGGAATGCTCAGACTCAGCAAGGTGAAGATTGGAGAAACAGGCAAGGTAGCAAAGCTGTAAGGAGCTCAGGGGCTGAGCTGCCCATAGGGCAATGTGACTTGTACAGAGATGTAACAGGAGAGAGGAATGAAGATTGATGGGAGAGTTGAAAAAAAGTCCAGTATTGCTGTGTTAAAGTCCTTCCTAAATCCACAGCCTTTTACAACTGTTCTCAGCTCCAGTAGAAGCTGGACAGGAGGCCCATCACTGAGGCTTTCAGTGGTGTTCAGGAGTCTGAGATGGAAGGGTAGAAGAGAGATATCAAGCATCAGACAGGATGGGTAAAGCAGGCAGCTTATCACAGGATCACAGAGTGGCTGAGGGTGGCAGCAAGCTCTGGATCCATCTGGCCCAACCCGTGCCCCAGCAGGGACACCCAGAGCAGGGTGCCCAGGGTCACTGCCAGGCAGCTTCTGACCATCTCCAAGGAGAAGATCCACAGCCTCGGGGCAGCCGTGCCAGTGCTCAGCCATCCACACAACACAGAAGAACCTCCTGTGTTCCAGTTTGTGACCTAGCATTGGGCACCACTGAAAAGAGCCTGGCTCTGTCCTCTTTGCCCGTTCCATTCAGGTGTTTATGGACACTGATGATACCTACTCTCCATCTCCTTCTCTAGACTGCACAGTCCCTGTTCTCTCAGTTTCTTCTGCAGCAAACTGCTGTACCACACAACTGCAGCCAGTCAGCATTCCTCCAAACTGCCCATGTTTGAACAGCAGGGGTTAATAAGGCTGATGGAATAATAACCATGAGAAGATACTAAGCACAGCATGATGAGTTGTGGTCGTGCAATGGGAAACTCATGCGCATCTTCAGAGGCTACAGAACATGAAGATGGATGGTCACTAAAGGACCAGGCCATCAGATTCAGGCCATCGTGGATGGCGTTCTCTCCAAGCATACTATAATCTGATGAGATTATGGAATGCTGGGCGGCAGGGGGGGAGACATTAAAGTCCCTCCTCCTAGAGGAACAAAGTAGGGACTCAGGAGGCCATTAGTATGTTAACCATAAGCAAAAGTGTACTGTGAGGGATGCAGGGAATGCAGACGAAAATCTCAAAAACTAAGGCTTGTGCCTGAGAGGCCCAGAGTCACAGTATCACAGGAACACTTGTGTTGGAAGGGATCTTTAACTGTTAGACATGTACACAGATGTCAAATTTTAATATACTTGTAGTGCTAACTTGTCGCTGGTATTGAGTTATACACTTGTTGTACCTGAAGGGGATGTATTTCATTTAAGCCTTGGCATCCATATCCAGACAATGAATTCTATTTATCCAGTACCCCTTTTTTGCTGCTGGAGGGAATCTTTCCAGCCTCAGAGAAAGTAATCAAAATCTGGAGATGAACCCATCAGTATTACACCACCCTGTTTCTTCCTGGACTCTAGCAGCCTCATGAAGATAACAAGACTTCACTCCAGTTTCTCCACTTTTTTTTTGTCCCAGCAGGTCCCCTGTCCCTTCTTGGCAAGAATACTGCCAATTATTCTATTTTTATTGCAACTTTCTGACAACAGATGTGATTGTGAAAGCCGAAATCATTTATTCAGGATTTCTCAATTATAAGGTAAGGATCTATTTAATTTGTCTGCTCGCTTTTTGTGTGTGTGTTTTTAAAACATTCACAATCATGATGAAAAGCAAAAAATATACTCATCACACATTCTAAAGGTTTCCAAGCCAGAAAGCAAATAAAAAGAACTCAAAGCTCAACTCAATACATAAATCTCATTATTTTTAAATCAGTCTCATGCTACTCTGCAGTCTGATTCATTGTGTTTTAATGCTGAGAACTGCAGTAACCGGCTAACAAGAGTCCTCTTCCTGGGGTGTGGAGAAGAACATGCCAGCCAGATGTCGTCCCAGGCCAGGAGATGAAGTACCACTGCAAACATGAAAACAAGCTGTCAGTCCAAGCTGCCTAATGCAGTGCCTGCTGGGCCTGTGCCAGCAAACAAATGCCTGAAGCAGAAGTTTTCCCAGTTCTTACTCCTGTTCTCTCCCTTTTCAGCATGCTTCTATGTTAGGATTTTACAGATGAGACTTCTGAACAACAATTCATAACTTAAGTTGTCTTTCCTATGTCTTCTCCTCCCCCCCAGACAACAGATGGTTAGTATCAACAAGAGTCCTTTAAAGCAAAGTTTATTGAATACAACAGGAAGCAAAGGAATACTTTACAGATGGAATGATTATCCCAGAAGGTTAAAGGAGAAGTATTTCTGAAGACAGAGCAAACCAGAGCCCCATACAGAAAGTCCCAGACCAAGACTCATCATTTGCAGATTGTGGCAGCTAGATGAGAAGCCAATGATGCCTCCAAGTTCCCCAGGGGAGCCAATAACAAGTGAAGGCCATGTCAAATACACTGATCTGCTACAGTTTAGTAAAGATTTGGGGTCATCACAGAAGGAATTGACAGAAAATCAATAGGGATTAAGCTCCAAGACCCAGGACTTCACTGTCTGAGTAAGCAGTGAAGCACAGACGCAGATGTGTTACTAGAAACGTTTATTTACTCAGTAAGCTGCAGCTATTAGAGATCAATATAATCCTTTTACAGGGACTGGACAGTGCTCTTTCCTTGAAGACAAGCAACTGAACTACTCAATACCGGTGCAATTTCTATCTTCATGTATGCCCATCCATGTAGTCTTGGTGATCATTGCTCTGTTATATGCAGGGATTAGTCCACCCTAGCCAGCCCTATCTAGAACTGCAGTAGTCCCAATGTCCCAATTAGGTCCCCCTTACTGGACGGATGTAGAGAAATTTGTCCTCTGTAATGTGAAGTCTGCAGCAATTTCATGAAAGAATGAGCCCCAGACATAATTTTGCCTGGGCTATCTGATGTGCTAAAAATCCTGCCAAATCACTGACCTTGTGGTGTCAGGGCTGTTATAGAGCTAAGCATGTGCTCCTGTGCAAAGGAGCAATCTTGCCTGTTCCCATCACCTCTCCTCTATCAGTCCTAGTACTTATTTATCTGCATGGTCAGCCACTCCAGCAAGCTGATTCAGCTCACTCTATGGCCACATGGTTACTACCAGTACCAGTGTGTTGAGGAGTGCCAATATGGGGACAGCCTGCAGTACATCAGCATATTTAGTTCATGAAATCTGCACCATGTGTGCATAGTAAATCTGGTGCATCTCAACCCCTTGAGGATACTTCTTGTGTGTGGAACTCACCCGGCGCTTGCATGGTAAATCCAAAGCATTCCAACACATCAGTCTTGAAGGGCACATGCTCTCAGTGCTCATCTCAGTGTGACCACTAATTCTACCTGATATGCACAGGCTGCGAAGGATAATTCTGGGCACCTACACAGCACATACAAAATGTGCTCATTTGTTTCCTAGGCTCTGGGTTGCTCATATATCTATGGGAAGCTAAGTTCTACCTAGAGCAACAATAATTGCACCCATACTTCTGTCTGCAATATCCCAAATTTCCTGCCTTTACCTCCCCATGTGGAATCACAGAATCAAAAATACTGAAAAGACCACTAAGACCACTTAGTCCAACCATCAGCCCATCTCCACCATGCCCACTAATCCATGTCCCTCAGTGCCACATCTCCACATTTCTTGAACACCTCCAGGGACAGTGACTCCACCACCTCCCTGGGCAACCTGTGCCGGTGCCTCACCACTCCTTCTGAGAAGAAATTGCTCCTGTGTCCAACCTGAACCTCCCCTGGTGCAACTTGAGGTCATCCCCTCTCATATTATCACTGTTACATGGGAGAAGAGGCCGACCCCCACCTTGCCACAACTTTCAGGCAGTTGTAGAGAGTGGTAAGGTCTCCTCTGAGCCTCCTCTTCTCCAGACTGAACCATCCCAGTTCCCTCATCCAATCCCCATAATGCTTGTGCTCCAACACAAGATGTATACCCAGGTCCTGAAAAGGGAACTATTGCCCCTAGCTCTTCACTCCACCTTGCTGCCAGGAACTACCAAGCCCATCAGAGGGCCGACAGAAAGGAGTTCACCACTAACATATGAGAAGTCTAGTGACTGTCATACACTGTCGATTAAAATGAGTATACACCCAGTACCTGGCAGAAAGAGTTTAGTCTAATGATTCCTATGAGCACATAAACCAGCAGAGCGGCTAGAAGGAATGAGGAGTCACAGCAGGGGAAAAGTTACTTAAACCAAATGCAGGGGACTATACAGAGTTCCTTTACCAGTGCCTTTCCAACAGTTCACAAAGCAGTCTGCTTTCAGGTGGCATAAAATGTGAATGTAGGATACTTACCGTTAGATGACTGAAAAAAGTACTGCCAAGTTTAATTTTTATATTTTATATGAAAACAGTTTTAGGTGAATCTTCCTGAGCACTGAAGTTGAATGTTTTGGAATTAGGAGAAATAAATTTCAGTCCAGCATGAAAAATGTGCACTGCGCTGAACATGGTCTTTCCCCGGTGCATTCTTTCTTCCTTCAGTTTTCATTTCATAGATGTTTGATTCCAGGCAGAGGAACTCTGAGTTCATGAGAAACATGGGAATGAGTCCCAGGGAGAGGATTTTTTCCCTTGTTTTTCTGCTTAATGTAAGAGTAGGAGAAATAAAAACAATGAGGAGCCAAGCTGCAACCTTTTGCTCCGCACAACTTCCTGAAATTTCTCCTGAGCAAGATGAACAGTGCTGCAGCAAAAGCAGCTCGTGCTGAAAATGGCATCTGTGAGTTACTCTGCAGAATTCAGACACAGTCCCATATTTACCCCATCTGCTTCTTCAGGACAAACTACTTGTCTACCCAGGTGTATAATTAGATATAAAGGAGTAATTTAAGAGGAATATCCTCCTAGCTTTTACTAGCCTCACCAGACAAACAATAGAAATCCTGTTTTAAACTAAGGAAGGACAAAATGCACTAAAAGCTACACAGGAAACAGCCCTGAACTGCACGGGATTTGGGCTAAATGATTTTAAGACTGTGAGCAGATGTCTCTCTTGGAAGCTGCAGAACCAGCTGCTCTCCGTCACCACCCTCGAGCTCAAGCCGACCTTCACCCGCGGCAGCGCAGAGCGTGTCGGTGCTCCGCCAGACAGACCGACCGGGTCAGATTAACCAGTTCAAACCGGGTATTTGAACTGAGCCACGGGAACTTTCCTGCAGGGGATTAGCGCGTTCCTGCAGAGCCTGCCCCGAGCTGACAGCAGATCCGAGGGCATCCCTGGCATCAGAGAGGCAACGAACAGCTGAAAAGGGGCAACGTCTCCATAAGGCGCTGGCCCAGCGCTGCAGACAGCAGCACTGCACAGAGCGGTGCCAGCAAAGCTCCCTGCTCCTGGCCCAGCTGCAGCTGCCCATCACTGCCCGAGTTATAACAGGAGCTGCGTTATAGCTCCTGCACTGGGCGAGGAGCAAAGCAGGGCTCAGGAGCAAGGGTGGCCCGCTGACACAGGCCCAGAGGGAGCTGCTAAATGGTGGCCGTCTGCAGCCTAAGAAGCTCTCTCCTTCCTTGGTCTCAATCTGTTTTCACTTTAAGCCCGTTTTACAGTCTGGACTGAGCTGGGATTTAGATGTATTTTATGTGGCCGGCACCACCCACCGTGTCTCACAAGGGATGACAGTGCCTGCCACAAGTCATTTACAGGCCAAGAGTGAGCGCAGGCTCCCACAGACTGAAGCGAGGCCTGCTTGTTCCTCCTCACCATGGCTTTTCCCATGACTGTCCAGATCCCTTGGCGGTCCCTTCCCTGCCCTGTGGCAACTTCAGCTCCTCCATACAGGCTGAACAAGCTTTAGATGCTTTCTTCAGAGTCTGGAATGTCGTTATGAATCCCAGAGCCATGCAGAGGTACAGGGAGCAAACCCACCCAAGCCCCGGTGGCCTGCTGCTGCCTGGGACTAGAGCTGATGGCACCAGAGTCCAGTAGGACGCCTGGAGAAGGGGGTACATGCCAGCCACCAAGCCTTGAAACAGCCTTGCTGAGGGCACCTCATCTCCTCAGACTTCCCATTTGTATCCTCCTGTCACTGGACTGTATAATTCCACAGATTAAAGGGTTTTTGTTTGTTTGTTTTCCCCAGTGAATCTAAGGGAGCAAGGAACACAGCTCCTAAAACCTTCACTGCACTGCACTATATATGGCCACAGATCACCACTCTGTGCAAATAGAAGAGCATGCAGAGTTTGTACAGTTTAAGCCTCATTACCTTCTTGGTATCAAACAAGAGCCCGATTCAGACTGTCTCACCAGGAACTGACTTGTTAGAAACCACAAGGTAAAAATCAAACACAACAGCTTCACCTGCTCAAGAAAATAGTGAGAGTGGATTCTTTGTATCTAACCCACTGATGAAAGAAGAGATACGTGGATTGGGCCAGTAGAGCTGAAAGCCCCATCAACAGGGACTAATATAATCCAGTCCTATACATTTTTAACCTGCTCAGCCCTGCCCTCTTATAAAACAGGCATTTCAGCAGCTGTATTTCTGTTAATTGGATGTGTTCTTAAACATACATGAGGAAAACCACATTAAAGCTTCTCATGATTCCAGATAAGATTTACAGTTAGCACATGTAAGTGAAATGTCACTCAGGCCAAAGGAATTGTTCCTCCTTTGTCTGCTACTGCAATCCCTGAACTTGATCCTACATTTCCATACTCCCACAAGTTTAGTGTGGACTCTTAACACACTGCTGCAACCCCACCTCAGCAGCCTGCTGCCCTCCTGCCTCGGAACTGGCACAGGGGCAGCTCCGTCTCAGCCAGCCTTTGCTGTGGCTCTGGCTCAGATTTTCTGCTGCTGAAACTCTTGCCCTTTCCATCAGATCCTTGCGTGCTTAGTGGGCTGGAGGGAAAAAGAGACAGGGAGTGTCTCGCTTGGGTGGGAAGGGAGGCCTGAGTTCCTGTCGTTTCCCCTGTGATTATTTCAAGATTTTTCAGTAACAGTCTTTACAGGATGGGCTGGGACGTTTTATCAGAGTTGCACCAGATTTCGGTAGAACACTTTCCAGTGAGGTCCTTTCCAAACTGGGGCCCTGGGCCAGAGCCTGGAGACGTTGCCTCCCTGCAGCTGAGCACAGCCTCGTCAGACTGGTGGATTTAGTGCTACTGCTGGAGAAAGAAGTCCCCGCTGGTTCTTCCTGTAAAAGAAGGACAGGATTTTTGCTTTCATTTAAGAAATAATACATAGATCTTGACTGATGAAAGGCCACCTTGATGGTGCAAAGATAAATCTCTAGGTCACCTGCATGACAAGGGTAAAGTGCAAAGCTCCAAACTTGTGAAGGAATATAATTTGCTTCTCTCCCAGCTGTCCCTCAAAACTGAGGAGTGACTCCTCAGAGTACCAAATTCTTTTCTTACAGCCACCAGCACACACATTTGAGTTGATGCCTTTTATCTGAACTAGACGATGTCTTTTTCCTACATAAACACTTCTTTGAGTTTTTGGTTCCCCCAGCAGATCCCTCAGGGATCACCAACCTTCTTCCCACACCCCCCATCTCACTATAGCACAGGCAAGCCTGGACTGCTCCTGCTGCAACTCATCAGTATACAGCCTTTAAAAGCAATAAGAACACAAAGGCATTTGAAACTTTCTAAATCACCCTTCGCTTTCCCAAACTCTCTCCTTTTAGCCAGACACACTGAATGGAACAACTCGCCAAGTGAACAGGAAACAACAGCTCCTTCCTGCTCTGCAGCCCCACCCTCCTACAAGGAACTCGCTTTCTGCAGGGCTGGCTTTGGTTACGTTCCAGCACCAGCTGAATGGCATTCCCATTTGAGCTTGTTACTCATTTGTTGCCATCGAAGTTAAGTAAAAGATCGAGAGATCCATAATGTCAGCTCAATCCCAGAAAGCTACAGCAGAACAGCAGCTCTGTGGCATTTGAGGTGGAAATATTTTTCTGTTCAATCTGACTTCCATAGATATTCTAAATTTCACATACCTGCTTGGATTTTCAGGAGTTTTTATGTGACTCACGACAGCACAGAGAATGAATAACGATCTTGGGATATTTTTAGACACAGACTCTTGGGGAAGAACCTCAGCTTTTAAGTATGATGTTATTATTAGCTTGTTGGGTTTTGTTTTGTTTTGTTTTTCACTTGAGAACACCAAACATTCTCATATAATCCAAATTTATCCCATCTGCACCCTCTACACATTTCACATACATTGTGCTCATGAACAGATCTCTTGATATGCAAGCATGAATTTGATGGGTGAGAAGCTTTCAGTAGCATCAGGTCTCAAGTGAGCTCAGGCACGTAAGCAGATGTGCAGAAGTAGAGGATCTATCCCATAGGGAAGCAGAATCTGTTAGAGGAAGGAATGGTGCTGTGCCAAAGCCTGGCTGTGTCAGGGAGCATTTACTTGAAGGGCCATGCACTAACAAAGCAAGGAAATCAGAAGGGCTCCAACTATTTTCAAACAGAAAAAATAAAATTACAGCGAGAACTCAAACTATAGAGTATTAGAGGACTAGTCAGCATGAGGGAGGGAGGGAGGGAGGGAGGATGGAGGAATGATGTACGTTGATAGGACTATGGAGCAGAAGAGGTATTAAAACTCTATCCTAATTTTACTGTGCATGCACATCAAAGCTCTGTACTTTATTTATTTGTTTAACCTATCCTGTAAGATAGGTAAAACTGTATTCCAGGTGAGCTGAGTAGAGTATGCCACATTCTTTGTCCCTTCTCATGGTTCCTGGAATCCCATTGCTACATTCTACCTTCCTGGTGGTTGCTTTATATCTTGGTGCTTAAAAAGCCCACATGGGAGAGCAGTATTGGGCACTAGAATATTTTCTGGGCTTTCCCCTGCCCACGAATGCCCTGTTTGTGTGCATGCCAGAACTCCTCCTGTTCTGCCAGTAACTCACCACCTGAAAGGTCTGGCTTTCTGCCTGAGCACTACAAAGAATTAGCCCAGCTGAGGTTCAGTCGTTCACACCATAAAGAATGCAGAAAATAGACATCTATAATTTCTTTTTTGCTATTCATTCCACCTGAGCTTCAAGAAACTCTCGCATTAACATCCTAAGAGTCAAGACTGACTTTAGGTTTAGGATTGCCTCTGGCAATCTTGTTTTCTCCAGTAGAGATTTTCCTCACTTTATCACTGTCCTGAGAGGACTTAGGAGTTAAAAGTCCTTGGGATGTATTTGGATTTTCATAACAATTTAAATAATTTCTTCAAGACCTTAAAGCACCTCTTTTTCCCTTACATAACAGGTATTCTTTCAAAGGAAGAACCTCATTCAAATGTTGTGGCTCATTCTCAAAAGCACTAGTTGTTCCAACTTCAAGCTAAATAGTATTTAGCATGTACAATTTTCCTTTCTACTTCATTTTCTGGCTCACAGGTACTCAAAGATTTTACGTATTTGCTTAGACTAAAACATTTTAAACAGTTTGCTTTCTGTTCATTCTTTATCCTTCATCCTTCTTCTTCCACAGTGCTTCCAAGAGTTGTAACAATTCAATGCTGGCCTTGAAAAAAGTATGAAGTATTCAGGAGTTCCAGAAAAAAAGTGCAAATTATCAAACACTCCCTTGTTACATATAGTTACATATAGTTACATATAGTGCTATTCTTACAGACATACCAGAAAAGACCTCAAAAAGTCTCTAGCCCACTGCTTTGCAAAGACAAGTTCAGATATGCACTGTTAGCCTCATAGACAGTTTCAGCAAGGATAATTACTTTCTGATGACCAAGTAAGAAAGTATTTCTCGCTGTACAAAGTGGTGGATTATTTATTTCTTGCCCTGTTGGTGATTATTTTTAGTAGTTCTCATATTTCATCTGCAGAGTGGAATGGAACTGGTTCGAGGTGGACTGAATTATTCCTGCATACAAAGGGGTTTGATTTCAAACCTGGCAGGAAGCAATATAAGCTGGAAAGGAAACCTCTAAGTGGAGGCAAATGGAGCCTTGCTATTTCTTCCATTGTCATCTTAAATAGTGAACAGACACCTCCACCTGCAAGTCTGCCCAATAGAGCAGATACACGAGTGCATCCATGGTCTGTTCCCTTGTCTACCCAGCACACCATGCTTTTAACACAGGGTACGCTTGTCTCTCTCTGAGGTAAGAGCTAACACCAATACAAACATGGCTCCAGGTATCATCATCATGATTAATCATCGCTGAATAAAATCAAGGGACAATGTAGAGGACAGCAGACAAGATGGGGAGAAGTGCATGTCCTCTTACTGTTGTAGGGAAAGGCTTTGTAGTGCTCCCACACCTACTTGCCATCCTCCTGGTGACTGCATCCACCCTGATAATCTACAGACAGAAAACACAAAGCCCTTTTTAGTGGTCTGTCGCTTTACAGGAAATAAATAATTGCACAATCACTTAGTAACACATCATAGAAGCTGTGCTAATTGCTTTCATTGAAGTGCCAGGTTTTCTTATCAAACCTGACAGGTAGAAATTCCTGAAAGTCTATAAACCAGTAAATAATTAGCTTCAAAAACCTCCTTCTTGTACCTTCTGGCACCCTTTTGCCCACAGCAGGGAACAGCTGGAAACAAGCGGGAACTCAGAGCATTTCTGCCGAGAAATCATTTGCTCTCTGTGCCTCTGTTCACATTAAATCAATTTAATGCTTAAAAAATAATAAGAGCATGAAAAACACTCCATTGAGGCCATGCAGATGTCCTGCCCAGCCAGACTGGGCTCTCTGCCTTGGCAGAACAGGGTCCCCGAGGCCAGGGCTGTGCTGAGGCAAGGGTGGTGGTGGGCCGCCACGGTAGGAGGGCCACGAGGATGTGAGGGCAGGCTGCCGGCTCGTGCTCCCTCCTGACCTTCAAAGTGCCCTGTGCAGTGAGCTGCTCACCAGAGCATTCAGGGCATTCTGCCGAGGGAAACATCTGTGGTAAATCCACCCTTATCCCATGCTTTAAGTACTTTCTGTTTTGTTTTCTTTTGCAACACTTTTGACTTCTCCTTTGAAGGAATGTGCCAACAGCTGGCACTCAGGAGAGAGCTCCTGGCTGAAGGAACCGCTGCCCACTGGAATGCCTCAGCCAGGTCCTGTGAGATCTTACTGAGAAACATCTGTCTTCACCCACTCCCCTCTGTGGTTTAATTAAAGCATTTTGAGCAGAGCTTGCTGTTCTGCCTCTCTCTACTGCAGAACTTTCAGCTCCAAGACCTTGCCTTAGGAGCACAGTGATCTCAGGTGTTTGCCCAGGCATTGGGGCCCACCTCTCTTTTTGTTGTTACCAGCTCAAACATGCTTCAACCCACAACATCTCCTTGATGAAGCTGTGTATTCTTCATAAACCCAACTCTTTCAAGACCATGTGGGTACCTTATCTTTTCAATTATCTTGTTTTCCAACAGGGCCCCAGTGCCTGCCTGCAAGATGCTTTGTTTACGCAAGAAATGCCAGTCCTCAACAGAGTTCTCATCTCAAAAACAGTCTCAAAACAGCCACTGTGCAGCTGTGAGGTTCTACTCCTGGCATATAGGTGCTTATCTAGGCCATGCTGCCATCTCTTCCATCATGCCAACTTGTGAAGGTCAGCACTGATGGATCTATCAATACAGAATAATGCTGAAAGGCAACCCACCCAACTGCCTGCTGGTAACACAGAAATGTGCTTAATAAGTCTTTTATCAATTGTTGATGCTCAGCTTCCAGCTTGTCACCACCAGCTGATAATCCACCACCTGATAATCTACAAACAGAAAACAGGACAGCAGGTGTCTGCATTAGGCCCTGCTTCTTTCTGGAAGGTTTCCCTTCCCTCTTAGAGCTGTCTGTAGCAGACATATAAGACCCAGCACTGCAGGGTAATGCTGATAGTCTCTGTATTTTGCTACTGATATGATTCCCACAGTGGTCATCCTTCCTCACAACTTCTCCTTTGCCACCTTGTTATGCCAATGTAATTAGGATACAGAGAGCTGTTTGGATGCTTGAGATGTTCCTGTGCAGCAGCAGAGCATTAGACAACTAAAGCCAGAACAGCACCCCTCTGAGGCAGGAGGAACGCTGAGCTAGCAGCGTGCCCTTCCCCCCACAGGTTTTACCCACACTCCATAGCTCAGTGTATACAAATTAAAATTAAACACGTTTTAAAGTAAATTAAAGTTGTCTGAGACCATTCT